CAGCCTCTGAGGATGCCTGTCATAGATGCTGGCAAAATGTCAGGAGAGAATGCTGCTGGAACATGGCCAGACAGCCTGAAAAACCTACAACCCAAGGCTCCTAATCCTGGGGGAATTGTGGAGGGAACTGGGTGGGCCTAAGGCAAGCAGGACAAGAGGAAGGAAGGAAGGAAGGAAGGAAGGAAGGAAGGAAGGAAGGAAGGAAGGAAGGAAGGACGGAAGGATGGAATGAAGGAGAGAGGGAAGGAAGAGAAGGAGGGAAGAAAGGAAGAAGGAAGGAAGGAGGGGGAGGGAAGGAGGGAAGGAGGAGGGAGGGAGGGAGGGAAGGGGGAAGGAAGGAAGGAAAAGGAAGGAAGGAAGGAAGGAAGGAGGGAGGAAGGAGGAGGAAGAGAGAAGGGAAGGAAGGAAGGAGGAAGAAGGAGGGAAGAAAGGAAAGAAGGAAGGAAAGGAGGGAGGGAGGGAAGGAGGAGGGAAGGAAGGAAAGGGAAAGATGGAAGGAAGGAAGAGGGAGGGATGGAAGGAAGAGGGGAAAGAAGGAAGGATGGAATGAAGGAAGAAAGAAATGAAAGAAAAGGAAGGAAGCGGGGAGGAAGGAAAGGAAGGAAAGAGGGAAGGAAGGAGAGAGGGAAGGATGGAAGGAGGGAAGGAAGGAAAAGGGGAAAAAGAAGGAAGGAAATGGGGGGAAGGGAAGGAAAGAAGGAAGGAGGGAGAGAAGGAAGAGGGAAGGAAGGAAGAGGAAGGGAAGAAGGAGGGAAGGAAGGAAGGAAAGAAGGAGGAAAGGAAAGGAAGGGGGGGGAGGAAGGGAAGAAAGAAGGAAGGAGGGAGAAGAGGGAAGGGAGGGAGGGGAAAGGAAGAAGAGAGGAAAGGAGGAAGGAGGGAGAGAAGGAACGAAGAAAAGGGGGAAGGAGGGAGGAAAGGATGGGCGAATGGAAGGAGGGATCTATTGAGACATCCATCCATCCATCCATTCTCTCTCTCTCTCTCTGGCTTTGAGCTGCTGGGCAGATTCTCCCCTTCCTTTTCCCTCCTTCCCCCCAAAGGACAAGGCTTCCCCCCAAGAACCCGTCCCCCCGCTTCCTCCCCCTTCACCTTCTTCCTCTTTTCCTCCTTTCCTTCCTTCCTTCCTTCCTCTCCTCCTCGGGGCTTCCCTTCTTCTTCTTCTCCAGCTGGGGAAGAGGCTGGCCCCTCCCTCTGGAAGTGAGCTCAGGCGGAGAGGCCCCTCCCTGCTCACCCCCCCCCCCCACACACACACACCTCATTAGCATTCCCTTTCATTCAAGGAAGCCTCGGTGTGGTTGTTGCTGCTTCTGGGAGGACCCGGTGGGCAAGGGAGGCGCCCCTCTTCCTTTTTCCTTCCTGCAAAGACAGAGAGGTAAGAGGGGAAGGAAGGAAGGAGGGAGGGAAGGAAGGAGGAGAGGCTTGAGCTCTTGGTTCCCTCGTTTAATAAGGGGGGGGGGTGTGATCGGTGGGATTGGGATGAATTGGACACTTGGCCAGAGCAGGGCGGGGGGAGGATATTATGGGATGCCAAGAGGCAAAGGCAACTATGAATGGAAGGGAATGAGTTTCAACCATGCATGGGCCAGCTTCAGCCCTCCAGGTGTTTTGGACTCCAACTCCCACCCACGTACTTTTGTCTGTTTGAGGCAAGTGTGAATGCTGCAATTGATCACCTTGATTAGCATTGAATAGCCTTGCAGCTTCAAGGCTTGGCTGGGCAAGACAGGGGATGCCAGGGGACAGTTCCACCTTGTAACAGCAGCATTTGACACAGTCGACCACAATCTCTTGACCCACCGCCTTGCTGTTGCTGGAGTCAGGGGGAGAGCTTTAAACTGGCTGTCCTCCTTTCTTCACAACCGTGGACAGCGAGTGGAGAGGGGAGGCCTGGTCTCTGAGAGGTCCCCTCTGTCTTGTGGGGTTCCTCAGGGGGCCATTCTCTCCCCTCTGTTGTTTAACATCTATATGCGACCACTTGCTCAGCTGGTTCGAGGTTTTGGGCTTGAGTGTTATCAGTATGCCGATGACACTCAGCTGGTGCTGAGGATGGAAGGCCGACCGGACTCTGTACCCGATTGTTTCCATCAGTGCCTCGAGGCCGTGACTGGATGGCTGCGTGCCAGCAGGTTGAGGGTGAATCCAGCAAAGATAGAGATCCTATGGCTGGGTCAACCGGGCAGTGGGGATATCCAGCTGCCTACCCTGGATGGCGAGGCGTTACGCCCGTCATCATTGGTAAAGAGTCTGGGAGTCCTTTTGGACCCTCTGCTGACAATGGAGGCCCAGGTCTCCGCCGTGAGCAAAACCGCCTTCTTTCACCTGCGGCAGGCTAGACGGCTGGCCCCCTACCTGTCCAGGGACGACCTAGCTACGGTGATCCAGGCCACAGTCATCTCAAGACTGGACTACTGTAATGCCCTCTACGTTGGCCTCCCTCTGTTGGTGATTCGGAAGCTCAAGTTGGTACAAAACGCAGCTGCTCGGCTTCTTGCGGGAATTCCGATGAGATGCCACATAACACCAATCTTACTACAGCTGCATTGGTTACCAATTGAGCACCGGATCACTTTCAAAGTGATGGTACTCACCTTTAAGGCCTTGCATGGTCTGGGGCCAATGTATCTGAGGGATCGTCTCACCCCCTCCCAACCCCAGAGATCCCTCCGTTCTGAGGACCAAGATCTATTGGAAGTCCCCAGTGTCAAGACCTTGCGTCTAACGGCAACCAGACGCAGAGCCTTCACAGCAGTGGCGCCATCAGTCTGGAATGCTCTGCCACCTGAAGTTCGTGCCCTGCAGGACTTACCAGCTTTCCGCAGGGCATGTAAGACATACCTGTTCCGACAGGCTTTTAATGTTTGATACTGTTGTTTTTAAATTGTTTTAAATTGCTTTTAAACTTTGTTAGATTTTAGCTATTCTTGTAAGCCGCTCCGAGCCCCAGGGGAGTGGCGGCATAGAAGTTTAAATAATAAATAAATAATATCAATACTGTCAAAAAAGGAAAAATGATGGGTCCACCACCCCTGCGAAGGTTAGAAGTTGCAGAAAGTCTAAACCCCGATCAGATGGTGGTTGGTCCATGGCAAAGGCGTGATTAACAACTCCTCCACACTGCCACCTTCTTCCCAGCCCTGACAGAAGACCAAGTCAAGTGTATGTCCAGCACAGTGGGTAAAGTGATGGACATTTTGATATAATGGAAATTTAACAAAGGTAGTGGGATCTGAGTGAAACCTAAAGAGAGCAATAAATGACTTAAAATATGCATCTCAGGGCTGGAATGTTTTTTGTGGTCATTTGACGCAAGGCTTTTTCATCACACAGTATTTTCCCTGCAATCCAGCGGATACCTGAGCAACCCGAAATTTCATTTATTCTAGCTGGGACAGCCCCATAGTTGCCATGGTGGCCATGAAGTCCTGAGCTGCTCCCGAAAGAGTGGTCTCTCCATGGACATTGAAGTCCCCCAGCACAAAGAGCCGCCGGGACTCCAATGCCAGGCCCGAGACCAACTCTGCAAGCTCAGATAGGGCGGCCGTGGTGCAGCGGGGTGGTCGGTACACCAACAGCAACCCTATTCTGTCCTGGTCTCCTAGCCTCAGGTGGACACATTCAAACAAGGTCGACTGTAGGACAGGGCACCTGATCAAGGGGATGGAATTTTTATAGACTACTGCAACTCCACCTCCCCGCCCCCCAGATCTCGGTTGGTGCTGCACGGCATAACCTGCCGGGCAAAGCTGGGTGAGATTAACCCCTCCAGCTTCGTCCAACCAGGTCTCCGTGATGCACACCAGGTCTGCTTTTTCATCCAGTATTAAATCCTGAATGGTTGATGTTTTACCGTTGACAGACCTGGCGTTCAACAGCACCACCTTAGTAATATTACTAATAATATTGCAATATAACTGTATAGTACAATATAGTGATGTATAGCGCTGATATTGTGCTGTGCTAATGGTATAATGTATGTGTGTGTGTGTYTATATATATAAATATATAMAMAMAMAMAMAGAGAGAGAGGGTTTGAGTTATGTTAATGCCACAAACGAACATTACATTTTTATTTATATAGACTAGCCGTCCCTTGCCAGGCGTTGCTGTGGCCCAGTCTGGTGATCTGGAAAATAAAGTAATGAGAAAGTGTTGGTTTCTAATATATGTAATTTCTTTATGCTCATYGGTAAACAGTATTTCTTGTTGTTTCTTTGTCAGTGCTGATGTGGAGATTGTCTGGTTTGCCCACCCTGGAACATGCAACATGCAAATTTTCCTTCTTTAGGGTTCTCTTTCAAATCTATAATACTATATCTGTGTGTGTGTGAATCATATCTATCTATCTCTATCTATGGCTGGATGGCTCTTTGTCATGAGGGCTTTGATTACGTTTTCTTGCCCTGGCAAAGGGAGTTGGACTGGATGGCCTTAAGTATTTTCTGTTGGTCATGGGGGTCCTGTGTGGGAAGTTTGCCCCAATTCTGTCGTTTGTAGGGTACAGAATGCTCTTTGATTGTAGGTGAACTGTAAATCCCAGTAACGACAACTCCCAAATGTCAAGATCTATTTCCCCCAAACTCCATCTGTGTTCATATTTGGGCATATGGAATATTCGTGCCAAGTGTGGTCCAGATCCATCATTGTTTGAGTCCTCAGTGCTCTCTGGGTGTAGGTGAACTATAACTCCCAAACTCAAGGTCAATGCCCACCAAGCCCTTCTAGTGTTTTCTGTTGGTCGTGGGAGTCCTGTGTGCCACTTTTGGTTCAATTCCATCATTGGTGGAGTCTTTGATTGTAAGTGAACTATAAATCCCAGCAACTACAACTCCCAAATGACAAAAATCAATTTTTTTTGAGTGAAGGACATACATTGGGTTGTTAGGTGTCTTGTGTCCAAATTTGGTGTCAATTCAAGCAGTGGTTTTTGAGTTATGTTAATCCCACAAACGAACATTATATTTTTATTTATATAGATTTCCAATTCTGCTTTCTGCAGGTGCGCATAGATCCAAGGTTGGCCTACAACCAAAGGGAATGACTCCGCTGAATTTACCCCTCATTGAAGAAACAGGAGGAAAGTTACTCTTGGAACAGGTTAGCATTCACCTTTTCCTTTTTTGGTGTGGGAGGGCTCTGCAACAGAAGGTTATTAAGAGTTGAAACTAAGGGTGGAAAGATCGCCCTGTCTAGAGTGTTGAGTCAACTTCTCGAGAAATCTCTCCTTCAAATAAACTTGCCCAATGTGGGCTGGGCAATACTACGGTGAGGTGGATCTGGAATTGGTTAAGGAAACGAACCCAGAGGGTGATTCTCCCCAAGGCTTCCTCTTCATCCTGGAAAGAAGTGACGAGTGGAGTGCCATCAGAAGGGCTTCGTCCTGGTCCTGTTCAACATCTTTATTAATGACTTAGATGAAGGGCTAGAAGGCAGGATCACCAAGTTTGCAGATGGGACCAAATGGAGAAGGAGAGCCAAAACTCCAGAAGACAGGAGCAGAATGCAAAACAATCTGAACAGATGAGAGAGATGATTGGCCAAAACTAACACAATGAAGTCCAACCGGGACAAATGCAAGAGACCCCACTTAGGCAGAAAAAACGAAATGCAAAGAGACAGAATGGGGGACGAGGCCTGGCTCGAGAGCAGGAAAAGATCTTGGAGTCCTCGTGGACAACAAGTTAAACATGAGCCAACAATGTGATGTGGTGGCAAAAAAAGGCCAATGGGATTTTGGCCTGCATCAAGAGGAGCATAGTGTCTAGATCCAGGGAAGTCATGCTCCCCATGCTCTATTCCGCTTTGGTTAGACCACACCTGGAATATTGTGTCCAATTCTGGGCACCACAATTCAAGAGAGATATTGACAAGCTGGAATGTGTCCAGAGGAGGGCGACTCAAATGATCAAGGGTCTGGAGAACAAGCCCTATGAGGAGCGGCTTAAGGAGCTGGGCATGTTTAGCCTGAAGAAGAGAAGCCTGAGAGGAGACATGATAGCCATGTATAAAGATGTGAGAGGAGGAGGGAGCAAGCTTGTTTTCTGCTTCCCTGGAGACTAGAACACAATGGAGCAATGGCTTCAAACTACAAGAGAGGAGATTCCATCTGAACATGAGGAAGAACTTCCTGACTGTGAGAGCCGTTCAGCAGTGGAACTCTCTGCTCCGGAGTGTGGTAGAGGCTCCTTCTTTGGAAGCTTTTAAACAGAGGCTGGATGGCCATCTGTCAGGGGTGATTTGAATACAATATTCCTGCTTCTTGGCAGAATGGGGTTGGACTGGATGGCCCATGAGGTCTCTTCTAGCTCTTTGATTCTATGATTCTATGATATATTATAATATAATAATAATAAATTTAATAATATAATATAATTATAATGATAATTTATAATAATAATAATAATAATTATTATTATTACTAGCCGTCCCCTGCCATGTGTTGCTGTCACCCAGTCTGTGTATATGTGTTTTGTGTGTGTATATATGTGTATATGTATGTTTGCGTATATATATGTGGTTTTGCACATGCAATGTAATGTAATTTTTGGTTTTTTTTTTACTTTCTAAGTCTCTTCTGCTGTGCTCTTTAATGTTTTCATGAGTGAGGGTCACTCGTTGGCCTGGTAGGTGTATTGTGTCCAAATTTGGTGTCGATTCGTCCCGTGGTTTTTGAGTTATGTTAATCCCACAAACGAACATGACATTTTTATTTATATAGATTCTAATTTTATCAGTTTTATACTAATTTATGCAACGCTTTTGATACGAAATAAATAAATAATCAAGGGGCCATCCACTTCTTCTCTTGGGCCCCTTTTACACTGCTATATAAAATCCAGATTATCTGCTTTGAACTGAGTTAGATGAGTCTACACCAGGCATGGGCAAACTTGGGCCGTCCGGGTGTTTTGGACTCTTATGAGCCCATAGAGTGAGTACCAGACTCATGCAGACGACTTCTGAATTGAAACAAAAGAGACTATTGCAAAAAATATATATTCTAAAACATATTCAAAGAAAAACATTTTTTTCCAAAAATTGAAGCTTCAGAAAGGGGATTGCACCTTATATTCAATGACACCTTAGATTCGGTAAAATACAATAACATTCAGGATGCATCACGTGTTTTCTGCTACTATTGATATGCCATTCCCTTTTCTATTGCAGGTGACCTTTGGGGATGTGGCTCTCTATTTCACCGAGGAGGAATGGAAACTCTTGGATCAAAACCAAAGATCTTGGTATAACATAGTCATGATGGAAAACTACGAGAATGTGTCCTACTTGAGTAAGGAATTTGGATTCATTGCACTTCCTATGGAGACAGAAAATCTTTCAATATTACTACTACTACTACTACTACTACTACTACTAATAATAATAATAATAATAATAATAATACACATTGTTTATATTCTGCCCTCCTCCACTAAGGGACTCTGAGTAGATTATAGTATTTGCATACACAGGCAAACATCCAGTGCCTTTACAATCATATTCAATGTGACAGACAAACACAAACAAAGGCAGAGGCTTCTCCTTTCATTTCCGGCTTTTGGAGGCAGTGCTTATCTCTGGCTCTGGGGAGGTGCTTTTCTCCATTTTCATTCTGCCCTCCTCCACTAAGGGACTCTGAGCAGATTACAGCATTTGCATACACAGGCAGACATCCAATGCCTTTACAAACATATTCAATGTGACAGACAAACACAAACAAAGGCAGAGGCTTCTCCTTTCATTTCCGGCTTTTGGAGGCAGTGCTTATCTCTGGCTCTGGGGAGGTGCTTTTCTCCATTTTCATTCTGCCCTCCTCCCCTGGGGGACTCTGAGCAGATTACAGCATTTGCATACACAGGCAAACATCCAATGCCTTTACAATCATATTCAATGTGACAGACAAACACAAACAAAGGCAGAGGCTTCTCCTTTCATTTCCGGCTTTTGGAGGCAGTGCTTATCTCTGGCTCTGGGGAGGTGCTTTTCTCCATTTTCATTCTGCCCTCCTCCACTAAGGGACTCTGAGCAGATTACAGCATTTGCATACACAGGCAGACATCCAATGCCTTTACAAACATATTCAATGTGACAGACAAACACAAACAAAGGCAGAGGCTTCTCCTTTCATTTCCGGCTTTTGGAGATAGTGCTTATCTCTCGCTCTAGGGAGGTGCTTTTCTCCATTTTCATTTTACCCTCCTCCCCTGGGGGACTCTGAGCAGATTACAGCATTTGCATACACAGGCAAACATCCAATGCCTTTACAATCATATTCAATGTGACAGACAAACACAAACAAAGGCAGAGGCTTCTCCTTTCATTTCCGGCTTTTGGAGGCAGTGCTTATCTCTGTCTCTGGGAAGGTGCTTTTCTCCATTTTCAAGCCGAGGAGTCTGTGTGGTGAGTGTCTCTTTGTCTTTTTCCGCCTGAGTGGTACCTATTTATCTACTCACATTTGCATGTTTTTGAATTTCTAGGCTGGAGCTGACAGACAGTAGCTCACCCCATCTCATGAAACATTCACACCTAGCTCCAACAGACAAGAGTTTTTTGTCCCACCCTGGTCATTCCACAGATATATAAACCCAACTTTCCAACATACCTCGCAACCTCTGAGGGTGCTTGCCATAGATGCAGGCGAAACGTCAGGAGAGAATGCCTCTAGAACATGGCCATATAGCCCGAAAAACCTACAACAACCCAGTGATTCTGGCCATAAGAGCCTTCGACAATACATTTTTTTAATATTCTCATTATGGTGCCGTACAATACCTCCCCACTTAAGCGGTGCCTCATTTCTCTACTCACAGCTCATAGCTGTTTTTGAACTGCTTAGGTGGACAGTAAGCTGGGCTTAAGGTCAGGTGCTCACCCTGACCTGGGCTTCAAACTGCCAAGCTTTCAATTGGGAAGATTGCTGCTGGTGATTAACCATCTGTGCTAAAGCCTGGCCTTATATACACACATAGAGGCAGCAATGAACCGATGTGAACTCTGAGGTCCTTGTTTTTAGACATATCAAGGAGATCTTTTTAGCTACTGTAATGAATATATATGAAAGGAGGTAAAGGGACACAGTCACTCCTCTTCCTAAGATGTTTCCTTCTTGAGCTTTCTTAACTCCGTCATTGCTCCAGAGATCTTTGAATGCTGGGATTTAATTTGTTCTTGTCCTTCTTTCTAGGAGATAACTGGTGGAAAACAAAAGTAAACATGAAGTGCAAGAAGTCTCTTAGTCTCAAAGTGGGTCTTGCTACACACCTCCAAACCCACAAATGCCTTCAATGTGGGAAACACTTTGCTCACAAGTCAGACGTTTTGAGGCACCAGAGAGTCCACACAGGAGAGAAACCCTACAAATGTCAACAGTGTGGGAAATGTTTTGCTTATAGTTCAGACCTCATGAAGCACCATAGAGTCCACACGGGAGAGAAACCATACAAATGCAATCAGTGTGGGAAATGTTTTGCTTGGAAGCCACACCTTGAGTGCCACCTCAGAGTCCACACAAGGGAGAAACCATTCAAATGCCAGCAGTGTGGGAAAAGTTTTGCTCAGAAGCCACAACTTGAGAGCCACCTGAGTGTCCACACAGGAGAGAAACCACACCAATGTCAGCAGTGTGGGAAAGGTTTTGTTCGCCATTCAAGCCTTGTTACTCACCAGAGAGTCCACACAGGAGAGCAACCATACAAATGCCATCAGTGTGGGAAATGCTTTCCTTACAAGTCAGATCATGAGCGTCATCTGAGAGTCCACACAGGAGAACAGCCATACCAGTGCCAGCAGTGTGGGAAATGTTTTGCTCACAAGCCACATCTTGAGCGTCACCTGAAAATCCACACAGGAGAGAAACCACACCAATGTCCGCAGTGTGGGAAAGATTTTGTCCGCCACTCAAGCCTTTTGATTCATCTTAGGGTCCACACAGGAGAGAAACCATACCAATGCCATCAGTGTGGGAAATGTTTTGCTTACAAGTCAGACCTTGTGACTCACCAGAGAGTCCACACAGGAGAGAAACCATACACATGCCGTCACTGTGGGGAATGTTTTGCTCGGAAACGAAACCTTGAGAACCACCTGAGAGCCCACGCAGGAGAGAAATCCTAAAAGTGGGTTGCTGTGAGTTTTTCAGGGTTTGTATGTGTTGTACACCAGAGCAGGAACACCTCTGACCTTAAACACCACACCAGCTTGGTAAAATCAGCAAGCAGTTTATTGAAGAATCTATGTAAACAAAGCAGTAAAATATAGCAAAAACAGTAAAGGTCCAATATGTAAAATAGTGCATAAGCTTCAAAGGAAAACAATATCCAAAGGTGCGTAAAAAGCCAAGAAACTAGGCACACAAATCCATGAAACAAAACAGCAGGAAAAATCACATACACAAATCTGGAGCTTGGCAAAAAAATTGGTACATGAAACTAAGAGCACTTGAAAGCAAGACCATCATGAAATTCCAACATTGACCCAACTGAGGCAACTCTTTCCCATGAATCAATATAAGGGTTGTAGTTTTTTTCAGGCTATATGGCCATGTTCTAGAGGCATTTCTCCTAACGTTTCGCCTGCATCTATGGCAAGCATCCTCACCTCACTACCTCTGAGGATGCTTGCCATAGATGCAGGCGAAACGTCAGGAGAAATGCCTCTAGAACATGGCCATATAGCCCGAAAAAAACTACAACCCAGTGATTCCAGCTATGAAAGCCTTCGACAATAAATCAATATAAGGCTTTTCTAGATCCCAAAACTGAAAGGAAAGCATTTCTCTTGACCTTTCTCCTAAGGTAAAGGTTTGTTATCTCTCTTTTCCTGTAAAAGATCTGACCGTCTTAGCCTTTGAAAACTCTGTCTGTTTACAAAAGCTTTACTTTCTATCAAAGCTCTAATTATCTTCTCTCTCATTAACTTCTGCACCTGACAAATCATCTTCAGATGGTTGTTCTGAGTAAAGCTGTGAAAGGCCTCTCCCAAGAATGTGGCCTTCCTGAGACAGCTTGTGCCTCTCGTCTGAGCTTAACTCAGGGCCCAGCGAATCCCTATCCCCAATGCCAACAGTCCCAGGCCCACCATCAGGAACATCATCCCCATTCCCATCATGAACATCAGCATCAATTCTCATTAGCAGTTTTCTCATTAGCAGCTGGTGTGGTGTTTAACCACTGTTTTAAAGTGAGTGTGAATGTTGCAATTAAGTAGTTCAGTCGCAAGGCCAATCAGGGTATAGGGTGGCAACCTGTCCTCAATGAGGTTACACTCCCCCTGAGGACACAGGTCCGCAGTCTGGGGTTCCAACTGGACTCACTGCTGACGCTTGAGGCTCAGGTGTCAGCGGTGGGTGGGAGGGTCTTCACACTGTTAAAACTTGTGCACCTTCTGCGCCCGTACCTTGGGAAGTCTGACTTGGCCACGGTGGTCCATGCTCTGGTAACATCCCGTATAGATTGCTGCAATGCTCTCTACGTGGGGTTGCCTATGAAGACTGCCTGGAAGCTTCAACTAGTCCAACGCTCGGCAGCCAGACTACTAACGGGAGCGGGGTACAGGGAGCATACTACTCCTCTGTTGCGCCAGCTCCACTGGCTGCCAATCAGCTTCCGAGCACAATTCAAAGTGCTGGTGTTGACCTATAAATCCCTAAATGGCTCTGGCCCAGTTTACCTGTCCGAACGGATTCTCCCCTATGAACCATCAAGGTTGTTAAGATCTTCTGGAGGGGCCCTGCTCTTGGTCCCACCGCCTTCGCAATTGCGTTTGGTGGGAACGAGGGACAGGGCCTTTTTGGTGGTGGCCCCTCGGCTCTGGAACTCCCTCCCGATGGAGATTAGATCTGCCTCTTCCCTCCTGACTGTTAGAAAGCTGATAAAAACATGGCTTTGGGATAATGCATTTGCAGAATGATGACTGAGTCAATAACTGCTGACCTGGCGGATGGCGATGAATATTTGTGATTCACTCTGACGAACTGACTTTTTTGTAACTTGTACGAATTGTATGAATTGTATTTTAATGTATTTCATATTGATGATCTATACTGTTTTTTCTTATTGTACTGAATCTTATGTTGGCCTGCATCAATAGGAGCATAGTGTCTAGATCTAAGGAAGTAATGCTACCCCTCTATTCTGCTTTGGTTAGACCACGTTACCTGGAATATTGTGTCCAATTCTGGGCACCACAATTCAAGAGAGATATTGACAAGCTGGAATGTGTCCAGAGGAGGGCGACTAAAATGATCAAGGGTCTGGAGAACAAGCCCTATGAGGAGCGGCTTAAGGAGCTGGGCATGTTTAGCCTGAAGAAGAGAAGGCTGAGAGGAGATATGATAGCCATGTCTAAATATGTGAGAGGAAGCCACAGGGAGGAGGGAGCAAGCTTGTTTTCTGCTTCCCTGGAGACTAGGACGCAAGGAACAATGGCTTCAAACTACAAGAGAGGAGATTCCATCTGAACATGAGGAAGAACTTCCTGACTGTGAGAGCCGTTCAGCAGTGGAACTCTCTGCCCCGGAGTGTGGTGGAGGCTCCTTCTTTGGAAGCTTTTAAACAGAGGCTGGATGGGCATCTGTCAGGGGTGATTTGAATGAAATATTCCTGCTTCTTGGCAGGGGTTGGACTGGATGGCCCATGAGGTCTCTTCCAGCTCTTTGATTCTATGATTCTTGTTAGCCTGCCTAAGTCCCTCCTCGGAGGTCGAGAAGACCAGGTTATAAAAAAACTCTAAATAAATAAATTTGTCAAATCTGCACATTTAATTTCTTGTGACAGGTGGGGTTCACAGTTCCTGTTTGCACGGTCTACCAGGGCTTAGAATGCGCTTACTTTTTGATCGGGATGATGGTTGGAGTATTTAATAATAATAATAATAATAATAATAATAGCAATAGACTTTATTTATATCCCGCCACCATCTCCCCACAGGGACTTGAGGTGGTTTACAAGGCACTCCAGGGTGCACATATACAACAGGTAAAAACAGTACAAAAGTATAATAAAACAAGTCACATAAAATTAGAACAACCCCCGCCAACACATGTAGCATAAAATCCAAAATAATCCAATTTTAAAACAACAGTAGATAGAACTAACTGTCGTCAATTCACAAGGTGCCATGTGTCAGCTTCATATGGGCCCATTCAGCCTACTCAAGGTGAAAGGCCTGTCTGAACATCAATGTTTTCAGGTTGGAACGGAATAATTGAAGGATGGGGGCTAATCTAATCTCTTTTGGGAGGGTATTTCCAAACCAGGGGGCCACCACAGAGAAGGCCCTCTCCCTTGTCCCCACCAACCACGCTTGAGACGGCAGTGAGACCAAGAGAAGGGCCTCCCTTGTCAATCTCAGAGCCTGCGCCGGTTCGTACAAAGAGATGTGGTCTTGAAGACAGCGTATAGGGCTTTATAGGTAACTAGCTGTCCCCTGCCACGCGTTGCTGTGGCCCAGTCTGTTGATATGGAAAATAAAGAAATGAGAAAGTGTTGGTTTCTTCAGGGGTCCCTATCAAATCTATGATACTATATTTGTGTGTGTGAATCATATCTATCTATATCTATGGCTGGATGGCTCTTTGTCAGGAGGGCTTTTATTACGTTTTCTTGCCCTGGTGAAGGGAGTTGGGCTGGATGGCCTTAAGTATTTTCTGTTGGTCACGGGGGTTCTGTGTGGGAAGTTTGCCCCAGTTCTGTCGTTGGTGGGGTTCAGAACACGCTTTGATTGTAGGTGAACTATAAATCCCAGTAACTACAACTCCCAAATTTAAAGATCTATTTCCCCCAAACTCCATCTGTGTTCATGTCTGGGCATATGGAATGTTCGTGCCAAGTTTGGTCCAGATCCATCATTGTTTGAGTCCACGGTGCTCTCTGGATGTAGGTGAACTACAACTCCCAAACTCAAGGTCAGTGCTTACCAAACCCTTCTAGTGTTTTCTATTGGTCATGGGAGTCCTGTATGGCCCAGTTGGTTTAATTATATCATGCTATTTGATTGTAGGTGAACTATACATCCCTATACATCTGTCTATCTATCTATCTATCTATCTATCTATCTATCTAATCTATATCTATATCTATATCTATATCTATGGCTGGATGGCTCTTTGTCAGGAGGACTTTAATTATGTTTTCTTGCCCTGGTGAAATGAGTTGGATTGGATGGCCTTAAGTATTTTTTGTTGGTCATGTGGGTTCTGGGTGGGAAGTTTGCCCTGATTCTGTCATTGGTGGGGTTCAGAATGCCCTTTGATTGTAGGTGAACTGTGAATCCTAGTGACTACAACCCCCAAATGTCAAGGTCTATTTCCCCCAAACTCCATCTGTGTTCATATTTGGGCGTATTGAGTGCTTGTGCCAAATTTGGTTCAGATCCATCATTGTTTGAGTCCACAGTGCTCTCTGGATGTAGGTGAACTATAACTCCCAAACTCAAGGTCAATTCCCCCCAGACCCTTCCAATATTTTCTGTTGGTCATGGAAGTTCTGTGTGCCAAGTTTGGTTCAATTCCATCGTTGGTGGAGTTCAGAATGCTCTTTGATTATAGGTGAACTATAAATCCCAGCAACTACAATTCCCAAATGACAAAATCACAATTTTTGAGTGATGGTCATTCCTTGTGTTGTGAGACGTTTTGTTGCCGAATTTGGTGTGATTTCGTTCATTGGTTCTTTTGTTTTTAAGGGACTCATTATGCACAGAGCATTTATATAGATGATAGATAGATAGATAGATAGATAGATAGATAGATAGATAGATAGATAGATAGATAGATAACCTGCACTTTGAATTGAGCCTGGAAACTTGTCGGAAGCCAGTGGAGCTGTTTCAGCGGGGATGTGGTATGTTCTCTGTAGCTAGCTTGAGTAATCTGGCAGCTGACCTTTGTACTAGCTGCAGTTTCCGAACCATCTTCAAGGGCAGCCCCATGTAGACTGCATTACAGTAGTCCATTCTGGATGTAACTAAGGCATGGACCACC